TTATTATTAATTGTTTTTTTTTTAGGTATCTAACATAAAATATGCTTTGTAGCGTGACAAAAAATAAAGAAGAAAATTCGTTTGAATTATTAAAATTAATTATAAAATTTGATCAGAAATTAAAAGATAAAAGAAATTTTGTAAAACCGGCCAAAGAATGAAGAAAAGATTGATCTTAGGTTTCGTATGTGCCGTATTACTATTCATCATAATGACATCTAACGATAATACAATCGTTCAAAAGATTACAGATTTTATTGTAACAGACAGCAATGACGTTTCGTGTTACGAAGTCTCAACCACTTATGGTTTCCCACACTTGGAATCTGGTATGTCATATTTTCTATTCTTTTCTATTCATTTCGTATCTTTTAATTTATATTACGAGAAAATCAATTCTTACGAAATTGAAAACGTTAATCTTTCATGGGGTTTTCTTTTTTTTTTTTTTTTTTTTTGCTAGTAACAAACCTCATACATTTTTTTTCTTTCAACAAATTATAATTATCGTAAAATATTGTATTCAATATTTATTATTATATATATAAAAAAAAAACATTTATCTTTCGATATTTTGTGTAATAATTCGAAATATTATTTATGTCGTAAAAAATGTGTTTTTTTTTTTTTGCCATACAAAAACGATTCTCTGTTTATCTATTGTTCAATGGGATACAATTTATTACAATTCATTTTCGTTAACATTTAAATTAGAATACTTCGTTTGTAATTCTAATTGAATAAAAAGTAAATTTAGATTTTTAACATAGAATCATATATATAATATATTTATGTGTTCTCGTATTAAAGATGACATTCTTTTTTTTTTGGGGGGGTTTCATAAACAAATTCAACGAATTGAAAAATTATTACGCGAATAAAAAATGATTATTATTATATTTGAAAAATTTTATTTTACACGAAAGTGTAGAAGAAGAAAATAAAAAAAAACAAGGGGGGAAAATGAACGATTGATAATTTTGAATGCATTCGTCGTTTAATCTTTCCCTTTTACTTTTTCTTTCTTCTTTTACAATCGTTCACGTTGTCATACTTACTAGATTATTAATGAAAACGTTTTATTTTACGATAAAAACGTAATCAAATAGATGGTTTAACGTTTACTATAGCACAATCATAATTTTACGACTGCAATCTTCATATTCTATCTATTCATGTTCACGTATATGCATTTATATTGATAACTATTATTTAATGTAGTATGATAATGTACGGTAATTCAACAGTGACTAGCATGATAATATATGTCTTTCAGACCTTCGCGTGAGTATGCATTTAAAGTTGCGTTAGTTTGTCATTCATACAAAATATTATTATATATTTCTTCATAATCGTTCATTATAATTTTATCAATGTGTAGTATAATTACTTATGTACACAGGAATAATGCATATTATACGTTTATTAATGATTCGTACGATTTATTGTTAAGAAAAGAAAAGAAAAGGAAAAATAAAAAACAAAAAGAAAAGAAAATTTTTAACTACGAATTTTTATTGCAAAATCTACCAATACGTTTAATTGAGAAATATATGTTTTAATATTATTAGATTTTTTTTTTATTGTTTTAGACAATTTGTATAATATGAAGAGAACATATCACGTTTTTTTTCTTGATAAATTCTTTTTTGTCAAAATGTTATTCATATTTCGAACGAATTGTGCACAGTCATTTTTATTTCCCCTATGATTTTTTTTCTTTTTTTTTCAACTTTTTCGAATAATAAAAATTATATTCGATTATATAAATATATTTTATTGTGATTCAACAGGACGTTCGCATCCTGTNTTTTTTTGTCGCGAACGAATAGATTGCTTCGCGTCAACGTTAATAATTTTTATTGTGATTCAACAGGACGTTCGCATCCTGTAAATAATATAAGCTTAATGAAACGCGTTATTTTCACCAGTTGAGTTTGATTAAATACAAGCATAAATGTGCAATGAAATAGGCTAATGCCTTCTTTTTCTATTTCTATCAACGGATGTGTATTTAGATGTACGATAAGTAATAAAAAAAAAAGAAAAAAAAGAGAAAAGAAAGAAAAAAAATACCGGAAATATCTCAGGAGGAAACGAAGCACACATTTGACCACAATTTTATTTCTTTCTTTTTCTTTTTCTTCTTTTTTTTTTTTTTTTTTTTTTTTTTATTAACTGTTTAGTCACCAAAAGCAATGGAAATCTCATATTTGTGTTAAAAAGGAATTCGAGAATATTTTGTTCAAATTAAATTCATGCTTTTCTTTTCTTTTCATTAAATATTTCATAAAAATCTTTTCTATTGTGCAAGAAATGTTGTTTAAAAGAAGAAAAGAAAAAAGAAAATAATTAAATAAACAAACGAGTGTACCAAAATTTAAGATAATATCACGAAAATTTTTTTTTTTTTTTTAATAAGATGGAACAATTCTTTTTTGTTTTTGTTTTTCTTAAATCAACGATTTCTCGCAACAATCTTTCCAATACGAAATTTTCCAAAATAAAGAAAGACAAAATATAAATAAATAAAATAATGGTTTATACATATTTTTAAGATTAAAATAAATCAAAATTGATTCGCAAAACAATTGTCAACGAATTTATTCAAAAATAACATCTGCTGAAGTATCTTTTCTATATCTGTGTCCCCTAATTTTATTGATCCATTTATTTTTGTGTTTTTTTTTTTTTTTCAATAGATTCTCAGAAACCTATCCTAGATAAGAACATATTTTTCCACGAGACATCGTGTTTCGGTGAAAAGGGAATAATATTGAATCCACGACAAGCATGTGCAGTGGAATCAGCTGCTATAATGAATCCAGGAACTACGATATATCTTTTATTTATTAGCCCGTCACCTATATCTGTGGAAACTAAAGAAATCGTCAAATTATTGTCGAGTTATCCTAATGTCAAAATACGTAGAATATATCCTGAAACGTATACCAAGGAAACACCATTGGAAGATTGGTACAAAAGTGGTGTACTTATGAAAAGTAAATGGAGACGTAGTCATATGTCAGATGTATTAAGATATTTGACACTTTGGAAATATGGAGGAATATATCTCGACTTGGACGTTGTTGTTATGACGTAAGGATTATTTTATTTTTTCTTCATTATTATTATTATTATTATTATTAGGTAATTATAGTTGTTTATCATGTTCAAAAATAAAATGATTAATAAATGTATCTAAGGGAAGTTTAGATAAGGTAAACAAGAAATCAGAATGTTATGTTTTAATCTTGTTGAACGTTTCATTTCTTTATTATGGGACTTCTTCATCAGCAAGTATAAAATATATTACATAACCTTAAAAATGCATAGTTTATGAAAACATTTAATAA